TAGTGATATATCGGATTAGAAAATATCAGGAAAATAAAAAGAAGTCATACCGTGGTAAGAAACCTGATATTAGTGATGACAATATTTTATTACTTTTAATAAATATTTTTTCAGAATTAACAAATATTTTGAGAAATTGCTCTTTCTTATTAGTAGAAATCCTTTTTTTCTGTGTGGAATTGAGAATCTACTCCTTTTTTTGAAGTCGGTTAATTATGGCGATCGTCGCCAGTGTCAGTAGTTTAATATACGTACACGTTGAAAACGTCAAACCGTAGAGTAAATAGGGTCAACATATTACATATAATAAACTTTACTTGATTAATAAATACTTCCTACAAGTCAAATCTTCTTCTTGTTATAGATGCTTCTTACCTTACTACAGAACCATTCTTTAGGAGTATATTTGTAAAGTGCGAAAAGTTGACACACACCATAAGAGCGCAACCTAAATACGTTTTAGCAAGAAGATTTATTACCTCTTGACTAAGCCATTACTATTCTTATCTTCGCTATCAATCATCAAACACACGTCGCTATGAGACGTTGAAAAACATACTAAAACGCTATTGCATGAGTTAGTTTTTTGAAACATGTCTACAAAAACAATAATTATTGGACTACGATGACTTAGATTTAAATTAAATTGTCAATTTTACTAGTTGAATATTGTAGAATATTATCATGAAGTACTATTTAATAATAGAGGGTAGTATCATGAAATACTGTTATATTTTACGATAATATGTATACTCGAAAACTTAAATAATAAAATTGCCACTGAATTTAGGTAGGGAAAACTACCCTAAAATTTTCCAACACAGTAGGTACTTTAGAAAAGAGCTATATTTTAATTATTATTGATACAAAGACACAAAAATTCCTTCGATGCTGGTTCGAACTCGAACCAGCGTCTGTTGCCTAACCGTGGCCACTACTCTTAACGACTGAGCTACAGATCGTGTCGGCAGATCTTACAAATTTCTCTACGTGCCTGTTGCAGATCTTTGTATAGAGTTTAATGGTTTAAATAAATGGCTTTTATGCCGTTGTTGACTTCTACGTATACAGTCAATCACTAACTGCAAAGCAGAGGTGCATACCATCTGTTGGCAGCCTTATGGGCTTATATGACTCCGCACACACGGCCACCGCGGCAACTTCCGCGACGTGACCTGGCGCATTACACCAAGAAGTTCGTATACTGTATATTAGTTCATCTATAAGTATTTATTTCATAACTGACTCTACTACATCAAACAAAAATTATTTTCGCATTGCATGCTCTATAAGTTCGATACCCCATCAACAAAATTTCACTTTCAAACCACTCGACCGCTCCTCCTTTAATAGCAGCTTATATATAGTCCCACTGCTGAACACAAGCCTCCTGTCAAAATAGGAGGACTTAAACTGTTCACACACAACATTACATTGCTTTGCAGATATGATCAGGTTGCCTCACGATATTTTCCTTCACCGAATTAAATTAATATAAATCTATTAAATGTAACGTTTAACTCGCTGACAATCGGGCAACGTAGATTGAATCCTACGAGGCGCTTAGAGTCAGAACCTTAGAATCCGTCGCGTCGTTCTATATTAGCCTCTGGATGGCGCTGTCGTAAATGCATACGCTATTATGCTCTCTTGTGTCCATTGGGTTTGATTTATGACGTCAAATTCCCCATTGTTTAATCTTGAATATTCATTCCCAGAACTTCTAGTTACTGCAATTCCCAATTATGACTCTGAACACCCACTTTAAAAAAGACCCGTACCCATGAAACCGTGAGTCTTATGAAAGATTGATGTTGAGGATGAAATCCCTTCGAGCTTTTTTGTAATTTAATAATTTAATCGATATATGTTTCTATGGAGGAAGCCTATGTTCAGCAGTGGACGTCTTCCGGCTGATATTGTAATGATGATATGTTGAGGAGACGACACTCGTACAACTTTAAAAGACGTAACTGACAATTATGACGAAAATTAATTCTAAAATACCATAATTCGGCGATTTAGATATTCGGGGAATTGGACGTTCGCGCGTTGTTGGACGTTCGCGGAATTAAACGACATGAACCAAATCGTACCCTATGACATTTTTCGTTTTTTTAAGAGACTGTAATTCTCTCGAGTGAGAGTTATTGTACAAACTTTACGAGTAAATAATGAGAATTACAGTAATGTTATATTTTAAGTTTTGTCTAAACCCTCCACGAATAAACTATTTTGTCTACAAATGAATAAATAAGCTATGAAGATGTTCAATTTTATTAATTGTCTCTTGGAATTAGACATCAGAATTCACTCTATTAAAGTTACTTTCCAAAAAAATTTCAGACACATAAGCGTATTTTAAAATAACTTCTTGCTTCGGTAGGTAAGTACCGATGATGTCAATATGAACTGCAAAATTCAGGTATTTACCTGAAGTCCGAATTGTCGAATGGAGAATTATTATCTTATATTTCCTATGATTTAATGCATAGTTCGTTTATGTTTACGTTTATGTTTAGTACGTTTTATGCATTCGTTTTAGCAAAGTTATAAAAGACTCGGGAGGAAAGAGAGGAGGTAAGCGTTCGCAAACCCATCAAGTCTAAAATGGAATTTAAATAGTTGTTACATATTATATTATGTAATTTAAATTAGCTGCAAAATAAAGATTACTTACTTACCTATAAATTAATCTCTAAAATCGAATCGTACACTTTAGACTAAGGGTATTTGAAAATTCAAGGGTAATAGGCAATGGGAGTTAGTTTTCGTTAGTTATACTAAAAAGGTTTTTGATCGTTATTATTTGTACTTATTTTGGTAATGCCAAAGAACAAACGCAATCATAGCAAGTTATGATAAAAGGTAAAAACAAATCATAAATTATATTCGCAAATGATTACTAATGAAGTAATGACGCACGTAAGTAATACCTACTCTTACAAAAAACAAATATTTACATACAAATCAATGATCTTAGACAAATACAATCAAAATGACGGCTTCATTACACCAGACTAGAGGTCGCGTTATAATATCACCTAAGGAGTGTTAGAGTATCAGATTGGAAACTGCCTCCGTTGTCGAACGGTTATCATGCTGCACTGCCATAAAGAGGTCCCGGGTTCAATTCCCAGGCCGGGAGAAATATTTTTTAATAGTATGGTCTACATTTATTTCTCTCGTGCTTTTGGGTGTAATCTGTGGTTTTCTACCTAAGTGTATGCGTTGTTTGTTGTTATGCTTTATTGGAAGTAGCACAATTTGAACATTCCTACTGATTTACAGGGTGCCTACAGATTTACTCGATTTTTGACGATCGTTATTAGCGCTCGATGTAGTGTTTTGACGATCAATAACTGGGGTCAGCTAACATATTTGCTTGATTGTATCTATCGTTACAGTAATTTCTTAGCGGTCGATAAATATCAATGCGCGCTTGTTTGTAAGGAAGCCGAAGAATCTCCTGGCTAGCCGTTCCGCCAGTGGGCGCCGGGCCTTAGACTTCGTATAACCTCAACAATTCCTTATTTCTTGTTCTCCCCAATAATGTATTTAAGTGTTCTCTTATAGAAACAAGCTTCGGAAAAGGTTTCTCTAAAGTGTTTTTATTTACCTAATAATTCATACGTACAAGGAGACTTATTGAGCGGTTACACGCGGCGACTTTTCGCAGCGCGTCTGGAGCGATTTAGGCGCGATGCAGTCGCTAGTCTACCTTAATACACACGCCCGGCAGCGATACAATCGCGACGCAAACACGATGCACGTTTTTAAAGATTTAACATAAGCGACTACATCGATGCGATCGCGCGTTTGCATCATGCATCCAACTGCCTACAAATCGCAAGTGACATAATATGCAATCGTGCGTTTGTATCGCTGCTAAAAGTCGGCGTGTGTAACCGCTCATTAGTATTAAGGAAGAAAAAGTCAGAAATCTTATAAAATAAGATTTATTAAACTAAATCATAGTCTTAAGGTTAATCCTTAATTCATTCCTAGACCCCGCCCAAGCAAAACCACTTTCGAGATATCTCGGCTTCATTCTCAGTTGGCAGCAAGATAAAGGCGCCGTGACACTCGTGGCTAAAATCACACAAACATTGCAGCTAGCCCACTAGAAAATAAATTTCAAGGGGTTCCGCCACAAATTTGGCCACATCTGACCATTCCATGTGGCAATTAAACCACTTCACACACCTTGGTCACCGGACACCAAAAAATGCTGTAGTAAAGCGAACATCAGCCGAAAATCATTTTATGGCTTGCTGAGCCCCGAAAGATTATATATATTTTTTTCATTATTTACATTTTTTTTCAAGTAAGTAGGAACGAAGTCATGAAACCTCTCTTACAATCTAATTAATGGCAGATATGGAAAAATATCAATAAAATTTTCTTTACACAAAATGGTGCAACAAAAAATGCAAAAATTAATTAGAACGAAATAAATTTACACAATTCGTGAATGTGTTATTTTACACTTGCGTAACAAAGAAGTATGCTTTTAAATTCTAAACGGTAACATTGCAAGTACCATTTATGTAACATTATAAGAGCACAGTCGTACAAGGATTTACAATTATGCAATTAAAAACATCATAATACAAACCAATACAAACCATTCAAAAGATATTTGATAACCGAGCACAAGACGCTTACATATAAACAATATTTTCTGCTAAATATGGATTGGAAATCATCAAGACTAGAGCAAATCTAGAAGAAAAATCAGATGAATTGCGCACGCGCAATAATGCTCGGTCTTGACACGTTAAAATGTGTAGAAATACAACGCCCAGATACAGCGCTTGTAGCTTGTTTGCTAGCTCACCCGCGTATATTCATCTAGACTTGTACGTAGACTAAATATCTTGTAATAAATTTAGTATCCATTCAAAATAGAATAATTTATATGTGCAATACTTTCACTGAGTATTGCACATATAAAGAATAACCGATGTTCTAATTATTTACAACAATCTATAAATAAAGACGTCCTGTGCTCCAAATTAACTTTCAATTAACTATTTTTTTCCCTTTCTAATGCTTTTTTTTTTTCATATATCTATGTTGACTACAAAAACTTAACTCTTCTTAATTGCTATGTGCACGTCGCGTCACAAACACGATGTAAGCGTTACTTGATGAAGGCTTCGGCAGGTATTTTGCCTTCGGAATGAAGCTGATTGAAGATGAATAGAGCCCGTTGGAAGTCCCAACCCGTTTCCTGTAGACAACTAAGAGAAAAACAATCAAGGTCAATGCTTCACCACATTACATATGATACAATAATGTTACTTGATTTTACAGAAGCTGATGTGGCCCAGTGACCTCATTAAAGCCCATTATGAAAGTTTGAATAGATGTTTGAAAACTTATGTCACTCATTTCTGATTTATAATAACTAAATTAGTACAGAAGTCCTGATTAATATAATCGTAGACCATATACAATACTCTAGACAACTGCTTATCGCCATACCACAGATCGTAACTCTCAAAAATATATCTGATCAATAGCCTGGAACTAATTTATATTATGTAAATGGCCGTGGATATCGATTATAATATGAATTATAATAATAAGTCAGAATTTTCCCTTGTATATTGTTCTAATATTGATCACGAGCTAACATTATTTTCTGAACTTTGACATATATACGTGCCAATAGACGGCATTGTGTGTTATAAACTGGGTAGATAGCGCTAATCCTAAACAAATTAAAAGAATAGCCGGCAGTATCCGTAAAAATCAGAGCAATAAGCGCCATCTAGTTGATTTGTTTGTTATCACTAGAAATTAGGATGATAAACTGCAGCTTGTCAATGTAAAATAAATTAGTTACAAAAATAGCTATTTAATAAATAATAAATAAAATAAAAATCATTTATTGCAGACAATATACACTTACAAGCTATCTATTCTACTGTTAGGACGAAAATTACAAAATAAAAATAAAGTAAAGTAAATGAATTAATGAATGAAAGAAATGAATTGAATTGATTACGTAATGAAATGATTACATGCTAAGTTCACCGAGCTCCCAGGGCGTGAACTTCGGGGAACCTAGCAAGCAGATCGGAGTCCCACATATTCCCTATCATTTTAAGAACTTTGTTTGAGAACTCTCGCACTCTGCGCAGGCAGGATGCCCCCTTTTTACGCATTAGTGCGTAAAAATCCTCTACACTAGCGTCGGCAAACATGCCTGACGCATTGCAGTATCGAGGAAGCCCAAACAGAGCCCTGAACCCATTATTATACATAATGCGTAGGGAGTTATAGGCCTTCTGAGTGAAATCGACCCATAGGCTGCTTATGTAGAATGTGTGGCAGTATGTTTTAAAAAGCGTTATTTTGACTTCAGCTGTCCAACGAGTAAACCTATGAGCCAGCATATTACCCCGCACTGACAAAGCCCTGCATTCCCTTTCTATGTCTAAGTTGTCATATAAGTTTTCTGTGACTATGTGCCCAAGGTATTTAAATTGTTTTACACGGGTAGTAATAGTACTCCGTTAAGAACTAGAGGAATAATATAGAGGAAGAATATTTGGAATTCGTCGCGACGGCTGGTGCACTAATAGGTATTAAACAAGCGAATACGCCGTCACTTATCGCGATTAGCAATCCTCTTGAGTTTATATATAAGAATCTACTCAATAACTTACTTAACACTCCAATGGTCGTTCATCCCAGTCTGTTGGCTAAGCATGTTAAGCAGAACCTGCTTGTCGGCGTCAGAAACGGGCACAACCGCCACGGGTGTCGCTGCGGGCGCAGGTAATGGTATCGCCGGAGCGGGAACGGAGACGGCCGCTGAATTTAAGGACGCTGCAGTTTTGTCCTCCTGTTCAAAAAACAAATAGTTATTTTCATAGTTCTGTGTATACAAAAAGATTTACTGGATATACAAAGATTAAACCCGCATCGATTACTAGCCGACGAAGAATGCCTTCGCTCAAGGACAAGGGCGTAATTAATATAGGTCTATCAAATCGTTACAGAATTTGAGTCTGTTTAGTCTATTTGAGGAGATATAACTTGATGCAGCTTTTTAACGCTTCGTCTTCGTAAGAAGACTAAGAAAATGTATGTGACTTGATGAACGTTTTCTTAAAAGATGGTATTCTTCTTAGAGAAGTATTCTAGCTAGGTACACACAAATAATAATGGTGGATAGGAATATAGGAAGGTGAAGGGTTTTTCGCACTTCTATCTACACAAAGTTTTTATTGTTAATAGTTTTATGAGCACTCTTTGAATATCAAATTTACTGCTACTAAAAATGTAGCCTCCAATGGAGAAGTTGAAAACTTCACAGCTATCATTATATTTTTTTACTATTTTAGAATTTGAGAAAACGTAATCACCATTGTAATACGGAATACATTCTACAACCATATAAATATGAAGGTAAAAAAGAAATTTCACATGTGAGGTGGGGTTCCACTTTAAACTTGTCAGCAAAATTTTCCGTACCTGTTCCTTTGTTGTGTTGGTAACAAACAGCATATCATTGACAATGCAGAAGCCTCCGTTGTTGTTCGGCGCTATGACAAATGTGCGATGGAACGAGCGCGTCGGGTTGGCTGGCGTATGCGTCTCGGTGTAAACGCCATTCATTGTAAGAACTGCTACAGTAGGCTGTGGACAATATTGAATTACATGACAATAATGTTCAAATACTTTCCCAAGCAACGCGACAGTGGCTAATGGCGGAATACCCTTCCAGTCCAAATTTAAGTATGTAGATTTTTGTGTGTTGGTAAATCTAGACCGCCACAACGGTACAAAACTGTGTGTATTATGTATGCTGAGAAAATGTCTCATTAATGCTCAGGCCACACAGAGGTGACCGCCGAAGCGTTCCGGGCGCGGGAACTTTTGTAATGTACGAGTCCTATTGAACCCGAAAATGCGCGACAAACGTGTGGCTCTGTGTAGCAGGGTACATATGAACTCGTACATTACAAAAATTTCCGCGCCCGGTGTCAATTATTGTAATGTGTGAATTTACTTAATGCTGTGTGGCCAGAGCATTAAGTAAATTCAGGCAACAGCATAAAATTTGCAAGATAAGTGTAAAAATTCGTATCTTGAGGTAGTGAAGGTGAAGAGATTGTAAGACGAACTCCCAAATCTATGTAGACTTAAATATAAACTAGTCATTATCTTCGTCCGCTGCTATCTCGAAATAAAACAACAAATTACTCACAGTGAAAACAAGTAAATCAAAAGCGAAGCCCAAAAGGTCGTGTTTAGTCTTGGGCAGGTCTGAGAGGAATGAGACGACTTGAAGACGACCATTGCGAAGGTATCTCCGTCTCGAATCTCTGTCTATTATTCTGATTAAATTACGGCTGTTTGTTATGTATGCGTTCAATCTGCAATAAACCATGGAAATGTTGATTAATATTCGATATCAATACGAAAATTCAAATATCAACAAGAATTCTGAGTGTACACACCGATTTTGCTGTCGCCGTCGGTAATTTTATAAAAAAAATACGACGCTGATAAGACCAAGGCTTGCATGTTGCATAGAAAATGTGATTAATTATTCGTAAAATAAACGGCTTTTAACAACTGATGCAAACTGTTTCATATTCTCAATAAAAAAATTCGGTATATTCTGAATACATCTCAACTGAATAGAATTGAATACTACAATTTTGAACTACACATAAGAGTGACAAGCAGAGCATGCGGAACTTTATCGTGAATAAAGCACCGATCTTCTTACAAGTAAAACGTTTTTCGCCTTAATACGAGTGGTTTTTTCTCTAACACTAGTGTTATTATACGAGGGCCGTTTGATAAGTATGTTATGTACTTTAAGGTTAAATAAAAAACTTTTTTTGGAATTTATTTTTATACCTTAATTTAGAATTCCTTACTAAGCAACTGACGTTACTTTTTTAAATTAGCATAGCATTAGCATCTGCAATTAGCACTACATCAAAATTTGACGAATACGAACTATTGCCGCACCAGATTGGGCCCCCTCTGATTTTAAAAGGAGGAAGTGATAGCTGAAACAGAGGTCTATTTTTCAGTGTTTGACAGATTTTTTTTATGGGTTGAGGTAATTAGATTATCGCTGGTCAATGTGCACAGAGTGAAAAGGAGATTACGTAAAAATAATAAACCATATTTTAAAAAAACTTTTTTCTTCTGTGCAAGTGTCGGATTTATCAAACCGCCCTCGTATGCAGCTGAGTGCTGCGTTATTGAATTGGCTAAGTAATAATTAAGTTTTGGAAAATATTTTTGAAACGCAACGAAAATTAAATCTTAAAAATAGACACTAAAACGTACTTTGTAATCTGTGAGTTCCTGTTATCATTAGTCAGATAATTGCAAGCCATAGACATGGAAGCGTGTTCATGGTACGCATCCAACAATGGTTGCCTGGACTCTGAATCGTATATAGCGAAATACTGAGTGAGGAACTCTCTGACCAGGTCCTGACCAGCTGGGTCTACGAGGAATGTTTGTTGTTTAGGTGGTAAAGTTGCGTCGTCTGATACGTCGAAGCCAATCGCTGGAGGGAGGTCCACACCGTCCTGCATGGATTCGATTATATCAATTAATAAAACGTTAATAAGGTTCACAAATTCTTTCAGATTTCTTTAAATTTGCAAAACATGTCTGCTCCAAATCTAACCTACCTGTTGATAAGCAATTTTCTCATATTCATTAATTCAATAAAATCATAAATAAATTTTTCAATACGAGTGTGATTTTGGCAAGGAGAGCACTGAGTGGGCACTGAATGCTTTGTCTTATAGCGAGGTTCGCAACTGCGGTTGTCTTTTTATGTTTTACGTAATAGTAATAAGTTATGTTTTATGTACTAGGTTAGTTAAATTGTGCATCCAGGTTCCTTATTATATTTCTATTTTTGAGGATCTGTAATTGGCTATAGGTTGTGACTATTATTATTTAAGTTACTTTTAAGCTGTTGGTGTTCCTTTTAGATAAATAAATAAAAAAATAAAATAAATAAAAGAACTCACCAATCTCGTCAGCTTCGGGAACTTTTTCCGCATTTCGCTGGAGACAACAAAAAATTGGTAACGTCCTTCTGAAACTCTCATTTTAGAATGTTAATTTCAGTACAATAATTTTGTATATAATGAGTAAGATCTAAAAATTTTTACATTAATTAGTCTCAAATGTTATTGTTTCTAGTACTAATGTGGCATGATCATTTTGTGAATTTCATTTTTCTTTTCATTTTTATTTTCTCAACATATATATATGTATTAGCTCCTTGAGGAGTTTATACATATTAAGAAGTCATTTTTTTTTTTTATATTTGCACAAATGAAAACCAAGGTTGATCATACCACTTTAGCGCTTAAAAAGAAAAAAGTAACTTTTGAACATAATTATGCAAGAACTTTTTATATGACAACAGAACAGTGACATACCTCCTTAAAAGTCAGAGCTAAAACTGAAACAAAACACTAACCCAGTCACTTTAACTATGTAATTTTACCGGGATTTATATGTCTGTTCATGCAAACAGTAGTACTATGCTGCTCAACTAGTCTTTATCGACCACAAGATAGAAATAAATTGCATTTAGAACAGACATCGTCGAGGATAGTGCAAATCCTACGTGGATTAGCATCGGAAAAGGCGCGTATCTGCTCTAAACCAAATTTTACACGAGAGGGACTCAACGTTATTACTTCATTATTTTATTGGCTACGACTTTCATTTTTACACAGTAAGCATAAATTTGTGTTATCTACGGACTGATAACAATATATTCCCGTAAATCACGCTAACTTGGTTGCCACGACATTTACGCGGTTTTGATTTAGCCACTAACCGAAATGGAAACTCATAATCCAATGCTACTTACGCGTTTTTGCACTATCCCCGACGATATGTGATCTGGGATAGTGATAATAATCAGTAAAATGGTAATACAGCAAAGCACTCACTGACTCAATATATATCTAATATTCTTTTACACATTTATTTTATACATTTGAACACATTTCTGTACCAAGTACAATATGAAATCACATTTTCTTATTTTATTACAAATTGACATCCTTTTTTAGTAACATCACTGAATTAGGGTATATTTGGAGATGGAAAATGTCAGACAGAAGTACAGATTGGGCAATTTCATATAATATGACGTATGAAGGAATTAATACATCCATAAACAAGAAATAAACAGGTTGCAAGCAACACTACATAGTCGCTAGCGCCACAATTCAGATTAAAGCACATAAGGTTGGTCTATCTGTAATTTTACTACCACCTAGTTACTCATTGTCAGTACAAAATATAGCATCTATACAAAATGGGTCCTGGCAGACAAACAGGATATTGCAAATTATTTAATATAGGCAACAATCTATAATTTACTGTCTGACTTTTTCTGTTTCTATAATACACTTCCGGACACATAATTCGAGCCACCACGCATTTTCAGTATTAAGTGCCCTAAGCTTAAACAAAGTTTGATTGATCAAAAGCTATTATGCAATTTTGAAACTAGTATACTAAACGTCTTTTCCATAAGTTATTGTTGGGAATTTGAATTTGCAAAACCGGGGAAAACTTTTTCTTCGCTGATAACACTATTTTTGTATTCTTTACGACAAAAATGCGAGGTCGCTCGAATGATGTGCCCGGGAGTATATTATATAAATGAGAGTATTGCCGTGGTAATGCTTATATTTGTTAGATTATAACATGATACTGAATTCAATCAGATAATGTCCTACTTTGTTAATTGACACTGTTTATTAGTGAATAGTATTCCATAAAAGCAATTTGACTTTTGCATACAAAATGTCTGCTACAAAACAGAGACACAAGGGACATGACAGCTATTTTGACAAGTTTGATTATAATTTAATTATAAGTAGAATAATTGTTATTCTCTACACTTTGTAACAAACATACATTATTACAAGTCAATTCAAACAGTGCTAAAATTTATTGTGAATAACACCCCAAACATACCTTTGGTTTTAATAATCATGTGGCAACATTGCACTGGTATACAATTTATCAGCTTTGCATGTCAAATATGCCTCAGTTTTTATTTAAACTGTCTTCCTGATGAATTAAGTGTTTATGAGATAAGTCACTATTCTAGAAAGCCTTCAATACTATAAGAACAAAGTAGGACCTTATCTATATTATGCGACATGCATAACATTTTGCTTGTTTCATGCCTGTACAAACCCGAACCTCCTGACTTAGCGTGGCTAAGTTATGGAAGCAATACAGCGGGTTCTGGGAACATATTAAATATTACAACAGTGTAAATGTGAAATATGAAATGTTCATGCCCATTATGGTGGAAAAAGCTTAACGCATGTCAATGACTTTGTGTTTCATATTTTAGTGATATCAAAAGTGAATTATGTAATCAGTAGTTAATCCAATACACTGGCTCTATTCCCATGAAATTTAATTTACAAGTATTGCCATTTCAAATGTGTATAAAATATTATTGTAATAGTTTTGAGTAGGCTATCAAAGTTTGACGTTAAATTGAACTTTGTAGGAAAACTGAAGCAGAATCTTATTGAAAACAAAATGTACTTTTAACACTTTTGCAAATAGATCACACAAAATAGTGAAACAAGAGACCAATTCTTGATATAATACTGTCTAAGAAGCTGACTGCACTATCATCAGAGTTAATCGATCACAAAGTTCACTAACCAGTAGTGAATACTATATTATTAGTGTAATTAATCTATGAATTACCCTAAAAATTATCCAGACAGTCACAAAAACTAATTATCTGTATGTTTGGTACTCAAGAGAATTTCCATTTAAAGTAAATGTTTTCTACTCCAGTTTACCAAGACAGTGTCCACCTCTTACCCACATACTTTCAAGTACCTGTCATCTATGAACATATTCCATGAAAAAGACCTGCAATGTGTTGGTCTCACCTTAATAGCACATAGTTTTACCTGACATAGGAATCATGGTCCTTCATTCTGGCAATGAAAGGGTTTCCCTTTGCGAGCAGCTCAACCAGAGGTAGACCTTTAAAGACATCCATTTGGTTTTGATGTGGAATCTGAAAAAGGTATTTTTCTTTTTAAATTTTGTGACAAGTTGGATATCATAAAGTAAAAACTCATCACTAAAATAAGTTTAGTAGTAGTAGTAGTGGAAAACGAGAAGTAGCAGAGAACTCCTTGTGAAAGAGTTCTTCCAGGGAAGTACTGCCACTTTACCTATTTCTGCTGCCAAGCGGTAATGTCAGCATTACTGCACTCCACTTTTGCAGAGTGCTGGTGAAATTACAAGCACATGACTTACGTCAAGTTATGTCTCAGGGTGACGGGTGCCATGGCAGTGCCTCTCATATCTTTGCTCTTTAAAACTCTGAGTGGCACTGCAACTGTTATGGGCAGGCGTGTAGCTTACCATCAGGTGCATGACTTGTTCGTTCCGTCACTTGATATTATAAAAAGTTTGTTTTGAAAACTATCCCTGGATTTTACCAGTAGGGGTACAACAGGGCGCAAATTGTGCGAGAGCGACATAAAGCATGAGATATTGTTATTCTCTAGCTAGCTAGCCCTAAAGTGGTGGGAATGGAAAAATAACAGACAATAAAAAAATATTTTAGTAACACCAGTAAAACAGTCTTTCGTAAACTTACTCTCAACAGGCACTGGTAAGAGTTTATGGTCAAGTTCGCTACAATGTAAAGTTTAAAAGAACTTAAAGGACAAAAATGTCTTCTTACCCTGTTATCACCTATATACAAAATCTTCACATTCTTTAACTTTGTGGGCAGAATCCTCAAATGATCAATATGGTGTATTTTGTTGTCATTCAGATTCAAAGCTTCAAGGTCTGGAATATTCTCAGCAATAATGTCAATGGCAGCTACCATTATCTGCGGCCGGAACAATGCGCAGAATATATCTGCCAGATCTGTAATAGTAGGTGATAATTTAACACACAATGGTCAAGTTGGGAGGAGTAATGTATACAAACTCATGAACACTGAATGTAGCCACCTCTGCTACAAAAATGAGTATATCTTACCAGGATCAGCATGAAACTTTGTCAAATCTAAAGCCTTTATGGTGGCATTGTATCTCTTAGCCATAGCCAGCTTCATCTTTTCTTTCAAATCTGCATCAATGGTCACATTTGGTACAGAATTCTTCACAATGACCATCAATTTATAACCATCAGACATGGTGATTTTCCTGTCAGCATTGAAGAGCTTCTCTGCTATCTTCACATCATCAACATAGAATATAGCTGCATTACCATTGACTTTGTAATAATGTGGAATGAATATATCAGGAGATAAGTAGCTCAACAGTGCTCTCAAAACTACATCTTTTTCATGCTTTGCTCCATAAGGAATGATTATCTGATACCAGGGCAGCATGCCAGCTATGAATTTTCGTTTGTGCAAGTGCGGTCTTGCAACAAGGGAGCTTAACCGACCCCTTCCTCCTCTGAAACGCACTTTACGATTGTTCATTTGACCTACTGTAGCCCCCATATCGATATCTTCATCAAGAAGGATTTTCGCAGCATCGATCTTCCGGAATTCGTTCTTGCCCTTGTTTGTGCCAGGCTTGAAACTGACACGTCGTGTACTATTCGTTGGTACTCGATCATCGTGTTCTATGAGGAAAATTTAATGAAGGTATAGAATAATAAAAATTAAAAGATTTGTAGGAGTAGGTACTGCTAAGAGCAACAATAATATAAACTCACCAAAATGATCATTCGCGTCTTTCCAGTTTCTCACTCTACCACCACCACGCCTTGGCATGATGTATTTGTCAGTGACTGATTTATTTAGTCTGGAAACTTTCAACGTTAATACTATTCAACGTTGCTATTGTGTTTTTTTACACTTTGTTGTTAATTGATAATAAAAACACAAAAATGAGAATTTCCTTTGTTTCCCTTACAAACCATATGTTTTCAGTCTGGATTCTGGAAACTCTTTTTGGGAAAACTTTACAATTACCACGACCAACGTCAAAATGGCGGCGACGTCGGTAGGGATGTAAAAAAATTTCGGTACATCAAAATATCGATTTTTTTTTATGAAATAATCGATACATGTTGTTACAAGAAATCGATATTTCTTTTCAATAATAATTATCATTTTCGATAATTTTAATCGCGAATATTTGAAAATGATATCAATACGTCTTACGGCAAATTTACACCAGGTCGTCTACGGACCTTCGGCAGACTACATCGCCTACCGTAGGCAACCTGCCGCATTCAGCAGATTACTTCGCCTGATTACTAGCTGCTTTCGACGAGCAAGCGAACGTCGCCTGACGACTTGGGTATTAGGTTCTTTGGTACGATATATATTTTAATCAATTGCCCATCCCTAGACCTAGGTACAGTCAAGAGCACGTCAAGCTTGACATTTTGTACTTCGGACCGTTCTTATTTTTTTCCATCCTCTAAGGTTCTTATCGTGTGCGGCAGAGTTGGATTGAAATTTTAAGTGTCAAGCTTACGTTGTGCTCTTGACCCAGTACGTAGAAAATAAATAATAGGGAACCCATTCATTATCCTGATTGCAGTCCACCTAGCCGTACGCCGAGTAATTCAGCATTGTATTCTAGGAAAAATACATGTGCAAGCCATCCCTGAATACCAAATAGGTTTAGTGTTGGAGCATGGGAAAATTCCATTTCGAAAAATTCTTATATTTTACAAAAATAAAAATTTCCGAATATTTTTCGTATATTGTTCCCGTGTTGATAATTGACACTTGTCAAAAATTAAAAATTGAAGTACTAGACGAAAACAAGAGAGCCAGTATAAAGATTTTCCAATATTCTTAAAATCTTTGTTTACATTTTAAGCCGACTTCAAAAAAGGAAGAGGTCCTCAACTTGACTGTTTTTTCATGTAAGTTACTCAATAACCCATTTGTAAACCGATTTTGATGATTCTTTATTTGTCAGAAAGAGGATACCTCAGTAGTGGTCCCATTTAAATTTGAAGAAAATATTCCACTTCTAAAGGTGGCAAACCGGGGATGAATCCGGTATCACGCACTTTCCAGTAACCGATTTCAATAAAACTTGGCAAATAGATGTAATTCCACGAACTTTTGAGGTCGGTTATTTTATTTAAGCCATACCTAAACTTATTTCAATTTGGCGCAGAATGTCCCGTCTTCTTTGGTATATTGATTTGCAAGTTAACTGATATTTACCCACGAGAAATGTAACGGAACTGATCACGGACAATACATCATACATACTTTTCAAGGTCAGGCGGTACTTCACACCTGAACAGCTTTTAAATCTGTATAAAGCACAAGTTCGATCCTGTATGGAGTACTGCTGCCACCTTTGGGACGGCTCTGCCCAATACCAGTTAGCTGCCTTGGACTCGGTGGAGCGTAAAGCAAAGAGACTTATTAACAATAATCCTCTTGTGGAGTCGAAGCTCCAAAATCTCGATCATCGCAGAAAAGTAGCCTGCTTGTCGGTTTTCTATCGGATACATTTCGGGGAGTGTGCGCAGGAACTTTTCAATTTGGTTCCGCCCTCACCGTTCCTCCTTCGGTCGACTAGAAGGTCCGGAGCACTCCATTCTTATGTCGTTGATATTCCACCTATTCGCACTAAGCGCTTTGCCTCCTCCTTTCTGATGCGTACGGCAAAGGAATGGAATGCTCTACCGGCATCTGTATTTCCCGAAAAGTACAATTTGGGGCTATTCAAGGCTAGAGTGAATAGGCATTTTTTGGCAAACGCGTCCCATCGTCGGTCACATCGTCGCTTAACATCAGGTGAGATTGTGGCCAAGCGTGTGTCTATTATATATTAAAAAAAAAAAAAAAAAAAAAAAAAAAAAAAAAACATCTAAATGGTCTGTGATCTGACGATGGGTCACACGCAGGATAGTGTGTTAAGCAATTTTCTGCTTGCGCGGCGCATTGCTGCCATACTGGTAGTGAATACGACGTATCGAATCCATTCGATGTTTATCGTACGATAGATCGGATTGATTTAATGTTGTGATGAAAAGAAACTGTTTCGATGCATCGATTTGTTTTAATAAAAACATCGAATCGGTGAAAACACTAACTGCCTCTGTATTTTAATTTTACAATATTGTAAGTCATTAAGTGTTTGTTTATTTGTATTTGTAATCCTAGTTTATTTCATTCTTCTGTGAATTAATAATAATTAAATATGTGTCCGAACTCATTTATCTATTTTAGATAGTTTAAGCAATCGCAAAAAAAACATTAGTAGCAGTAGTCACAAATCACTAATGCAGTAGTAGAGCTGCTTGTAAAAGAGTTTGTCCAGGAAAGTACTGCCAGCTTACATTTTTCTGCCACCAAGCAGTAATGTGAGCATTACTTGTTAAAGATAAAGCGGTAGGAGATATATAGTTTAAAATAAAGAACCTTTGACGATAATAAGTGTATACTTCAATATCAATTTTTCTTACAATACAACACTGACAAAACAATAGCTGGTCGCTAAGCAACGGACTACATAGTGTTGTCCTAATATTCACCTCTCTTTGAAACACCAGCCATCTTCTTCAGCGTCTCGGTTCTGGGCCCATAAAGTGGTTTGGTGAGGATGTCAGCAATCTGTCTAGTGGCAGGCACGTAACATATACTAATGCTCCCATCTTGAATGCATTCTCGTATGAAGAAAGATCGAATCCTAATATGCTTTGTTCTTTGGTGGAACTCGGGCGGATTCTTAGCTAATCTGATGGCAGACTCGTTATCCACATTCAGGGATGCTTGACATTCTTCATTAGTAATATCTTTGTAAATGCTTTTTAGCCAAATGATTTCTCTGGCGGCTTCACTCGCAGCTACAATTTCTGCCTCTGTGGAGGAGATGGCCACGGTATTTTGCCGTTTGCTGCTCCATGATATCGGGCCTCCTGCGTACATGCATAAAATGCCCGAGGTTGACCTTCCAGTTTCCATGCAACCTCCATGATCAGCATCACTATAGCATTCTAACTTGAGGACTTTATCCGGTCTGTAGATAATGCCTTCATCTATCGTTCCTTTAAGATAGCGCATTATCCTTTTGACGTTAAGTATATCCTCCTTTGTTGGCTTTTCTAAATTACGAGATGCCACGCTAACAGCATAGGCTATGTCTGGCCTTGTACCTGTCATCAAATATGCTAAGGTACCAACTGCTTCTCGATATGGGACAGTTATAGCAACTTCTCTATCTATTTGGACATTACTTGGCTTCAGAATCGGCGTTGGCACCGGTTTAGAGTCTTCCATGCCAAACAGTTTTAGTACACGTGCAATATATGCCTTCTGATGGAGAAGAATGGAGCCGTCGGAGTTCCTTTTTATCTCCATCCCAAGGAAATAGCTTGCTGGTTTCACTGTTATTTTGAAACGTGCTCTCATTTCTTCTAAAAAACAGTTAGCCTCTTTCTCGCTTGAAGTCGCCATTAGACCATCGTCAACGTATAGGGTTAGAATAATTTTCTCTTTCCCTCTTGTCCTTACGAAGAGACAAGGGTCATATTGGCTTTGTTTGAAGCCTGTCTTCATGATATAGTCTGTGATGCATCTGTTCCAACATAGTGGGGCTTGTTTAAGCCCATATAAGCTTTTCTTCAACTTGAAGACATGCTTTTCACCAGTATAACCTTCAGGCGGTTTCATATAGACTTCTTCGTCTAAAGTTCCATAAAGAAAGGCTGTGGAGACGTCAAATTGTGCTAATTTTAGCTTATCCTTAGCAGCAATGCTCAACAATGCTCTTATAGTGCTGCTTCTGGCAACAGGACTAAAAGTTTCATGGAAATCTATGTCCTTTCTTTGCGAGTACCCTTTTATGACTAGCCGAGCTTTGTATTTGTCTACAGAGCCATCCGGGTTAGTCTTAACTTTGAATATCCACTTACAAGGAATTGCTTTCCTGCCTTTCGGTAATTCGACTACCTCCCAAGTTTTATTTTCTCTTAGTGAGTTTAGTTCACTTTCGATAGCTTGTTGCCATTTCTCTTTATCTCTGCATGACATCGCCTGTTTGAAGGTTTTCGGTTCAAATATACTATCAGCTTCGAGCGCCATGATGTAATCGCCGAACCTTACAGGTGGCTTAAGATTCTCTCTGTTTCGTAATGACATCCGATGTCTTTCAGTTTCCTCATTGGTTAACTCAGGATCATCAGGTTCATTAATTTCAGTGAGTTCTTCATTGTCTTCTTCGGAGCGAGCTGATTCGAACAACGACTCGTTTGGATTGTCACCAGTCTCTTCATCTGTCTCACAACGTGCCATTGACGAAGAAACGTCTTCAGTAATTTCGTTTTGTTCTTCAATCACTACATTCCGTTCAACAGTTGTCTCGAAATCGTTTTTTTCGACTTGTGCTGAGAGACTTGGAAAAGAAAAGTTGTGGTTTTTACGTAGGTTAGGTGTTGGCTTTTCTGGTTCAGGTTCATCCCTAGATTTTCCCAGTAGCGGAATCTCTTCGAATGTCACGTCTCTGGATCTAATCAGTTTGGATGATTCTTTATCCCAAATTCTATAGCCCTCATCACCTTCGTAACCAATTAGTATACCTTTTTGAGCTTTTTCCTGAAGCTTCTTGCGATTTACTTTAGGAATGTGGGCATAGCATGTGCAGCCTAAAATTCTAAGATGTTTTATCGCTGGCTTCTTTCCGAACCATAGCTCATGAGGAGACTTTCCTGGCACGCTAGTCGGCCCTGTGCGATTCAACACGTAGACTGTCGCATCAACTATTTCTGCCCATAGGCCATCAGGAATTTTCTCATGTGCATGCATGACAGCACGAGCTGCTTCTACTACAGTTCTGTTCTCACGCTCTACACATCCATTTTGTTCGGGAGTATGAGGCATTGTAAATCTTTGCTTTATGCCGCATTGAGCTAGGGTATTTTTGAATTCAATACTTGTAAACTCTCCACCATTATCACTCAACATTTCTTTGACAGTGTGTGTCGCAACTTTAGCTTGTTGCAGGAATAGCTTAAGCTTTGAAGCTGCTTC